ATCGTTGGTGTTGTTGAGCATACGGACAAGTGTGGAGTTACGTGCTCAACAAGTTTCATTTCTAGTTTTGTTTTTGATTTATTTTCTCTTATTGATTAGGATAAAGTTTAACAACTTATCAGTTTAGATTTAGGATTAGATCGTATCTTTGTCATTTTAGCTTTATAAAGAGTCTCAAGTCTTTGTATCAACATCATTGATTTGAAGTTAATAAAAAACCCCAAAAAGAGGCAATCTTAATTGCCCAAAGATCTTGCCTTCGTGTAGGACCTGAGAGGAGGACTCTCATCTCTATCCACTTCGTGCCATCTCGTTTCGTTTCCGCTCTCACAAACCAACCATCTCGGCCATCATTCAATCACATCATTCCATCAACCTCCCCTGTTTTCACGTGCTCTGTTTTTACGTCCCGAAAACAGAGACTCACTTCTTGACAATCTTCCGCCTCTACACCAATCAGCCATAGAGGTTTTCCTTTGGTCATAATATGCTTATGTTGCTTTTTCTTGAAAGAAAAGGATCGATTTATATGATTTGTTTGATGGAGGACACGCTTATTCGTTGGAAGAGAATGTCTGGTTTTAATGCTTTGTGGGTTCCCGGAGTCGACCATGCTGGTATAGCTACACATGTTTGTAGTTATTAGTATATCATTGATCAATCCTATCTCATGTTCTATACTTTTGGTTGCACATTTATAAAATGTATTTTTGTATGCATTGTATTTGTATAAGATTCTTCCTCCTATTTATATTGTTAAGCTGGTCACAACCTCTACTTGGCTACATTGTAGGTTAAGGTTGAAGACAATCTCAAGGCTGAAAGAGGAATGAGTAGACATGACCTTGGCCGTGAAGAATTCTTAAATGAAGTGAGTTAAAAATTTAGAAATTGCACTCAAGAATTCATAGAATTTTCTTTATGAATTCCATTGTGCTTGTTTTATGATTTATAACGTAGGTATGGAAATGGAAGAACCAGTCTGGTGATACAATCATGTCACAACAACGACGTTTAGGTGCTTCTCTTGATTGGTCTCGTGAGGTAAAATTCACTGATCCAATTTTAATATCCTTGTCTCTATCTTCTTTTGTTTCTCTGAGCATATACAGAAGTGTTTTTCTATCTCTAGTGTTTTACAATGGACGAGCAAAGATCAAAAGCTGTAACCGAGGCCTTTGTACGGTTATACAATGAAGGGCTTATCTATAGGTATGTTTTAAATCTTCAATAAGCTACATGACTTTTTGCCATTTACTTACCTCAAGGCAATACAATACTGTGGATTTGGCAGAGACAAAAGGATTGTTAATTGGGGTTGTAGACTAAGATCAGCAATATCTAAATCTGAGGTAAGTCAAGCATCTGGTAACTTTATTGATTATTGAATTTACATGCTTCTTATATCGAGCACGCGCTGCACCTGTAGGTTAATCATATTGACATCAAAGAAAGAACATTGCTAGAAGTACCTGGCTATGATAAGCCAGTAGAATTTGGTGTTCTTACCTCATTTGCTTACTGTCTTGAAGACGGATCTAGAGGTTGTTGTTGCTACAACTAGAGTGGAAACAATGCTCGGTGATACCGCCATTGCTGTTCATCCCGATGATGAAAGGTACACGCATCTTCACGGGAAGTTTGCTCTGCATCCATTCAATGGACGGAGGTTACCAATTATTTGCGATGCAGAACTCGTTGATCCGAAATTTGGTACAGGTTGTGTTAAGGTATGAGCTTCTTTTATGTGTTTTTTTCATTTCATTTTTTTTCAATTTTTTTGTTCTTTCAATCTTACTTTGTTCTTCTCTTGTAGATTACTCCTGCTCATGACCTCAATGATTTCGAAGTTGGAAACCGCCACAAACTGGAATTTATAACCATATTCACTGATAATGGAAAGATCAATACGCAAGGCGGGCCTGAATTCGCAGGGATGCCACGCTTTACGGCTCGTGAAGCTGTTATTGAAGCTCTGAAGAAGAAGGTATCCTTGTGTAACATTTCATACTAACTTTGCTAGTTTGAGTGTGAGTCATTGCTTGTGATTTTTTTTTTTTATCCAGGGGATGTACAGAGGTGCCAAAAACAACGAAATGAGACTCGAAATTTGTTCAAGAACTAATTATGTTATTGAGCCTATGATAAAGCCTCAGTGGTACATATATTGTCGCGAGATGGGAAAGAATGCTCTTGATGCTGCTCTCGAAGTTGAAAACAGGAAACTCGAGTTTATACAAAGGCAGTACACAGTAGAATGGAGAAGGTTCTATCTCATGATGAAATTTGATTACTAAAATTTCGAAGAAATCATCGACTTCGATGAACATTTACACTGCATCTTTATTACAGATGGCTAGAGAATATACATGACTGGTGCGTTTCGAGACAGTTTTGGTGGGGGCATAGGATCCCAGCATGGTATGCAACTCTCGAAGAAGGTCAACTCAAGGATACAGGCTCTTACAATGACCATTGGATCGTCGCTAGAAACGAGGAAGAAGCTCGAAAAGAGGCTGATAGTAAATTCCCGGGGAAGAAATTCGAGCTATGTCAAGATCCTGATGTGCTTGACACATGGTTCTCTTCTGGTATCTCTCCTTTATCTAGTTTTGGATGGCCAGATGAAACTGATGACTCGAAAGCTTTTTATCCGACATGTGTTCTTGAAACCGGACATGATATTCTCTTCTTTTGGGTTGCTCGCATGGTTATGCTATGTATGAAACTTAGCGGCGATGTTCCTTTCAACAAGGTGCATAAATTTCCTCTGTGACAGTCCTTTTTTAGATACTTGTATGTTTATAATAAACGCATTTTGTCTCTGCTATAGGTTTATTTGCATCCTATGATTCGTGATGCACATGGTCGCAAGGTGTCAAAGTCTGTTGGAAATGGTATTGATCCGCTTGAAGTTATCGAAGGCGCAACTCTTGTGGATCTTCATAAGAGGTTAGAAACAAGTAACTTGGATCCAAAGAAGCTTGTGGCTGCTAAAGAAGGACATGCCAAGGATTTTCCTAAAGGTATCCCTGAATGTGGTACGGATGTTCTTCGGTTTGCCCTTGTATCTTACACTGCTCAGGTACTAAAACTTAACACAAACTCTTTGCTCCTTTAAACTGTATAATAATCTTATCAATTTTTTTTTTGTTTTCTTTTTCTAGTTTGATAGAATTAATATGGATATCCTGCGAGTTTTTGGTTACCGTCAATGGTGTAATAAGCTCTGGAACGCGTTTAGATTTGCGATGATGAAGCTTGGTGATGGTTATAGTCCTATTCTGACTCTGTCCGCTGAAACAATGCCATTGAGCTGCCAATGGATTCTTTCTTCACTAAACAAGGCGATATCAAAGACTGTGGATTCTTTGAATGCTTACGAGTTCTCGGATGCAGCCAACACGGTTTACGCTTGGTGGCAATACCAGTTTTGTGATGTATATATTGAAGCAATTAAGCCTTATTTCACCAAGCCAGAGTTTGCTTTAGAGAGGACTCATGCACAACATACTCTTTGGGTTTGTTTAGAGATTAGTTTGAGATTGCTTCACCCGTTTATGCCTTTTGTTACCGAAGAGCTTTGGCAACGATTGCCTTGGCCTAAAGACTATGAACGGAAAGCGTCTATCATGATTTGTGACTACCCATCTCCCATAGAGGTCTCTGCCTTCTAAAATACCTTTATGATCTATTATTATCCTTTTTTCCGGTTTCTAAAACTCTTTTGATCACAAGGCTGGAGTAACGAAAAGGCGGAAACAGAAATGGACTTGATTCTGGCTACTGTGAAATCTCTTGGAGCAATGAGAGCAGAGTTGGTAGAGAAACAGAAAAAAGAAAGGTTAACATTGACAACAAACTTCTAATCTTAACATTGTTATCTGCTTGGAACTGTGTTTACATAAAAATAAGTTATCAACGGTGTTTCACTTTTGGAAAAATTTACATTCTTGAAGAAGTTTTGCGAGCTTCATCGAGTTGTCTTCCTTAATGTTCGCATGGACCTTCTCTTCGTACCCACTCGCGCTCATAATCTTCTGCAACTTCTCCTTGTGTCTGATCCA